TGTACTTTTGACGCAAAAAATTTATTTGGGTTTGAACACTTTTTGACTATCACTGTGCAGACCAGAAATAGCCAGTTTGGAAAGTTACTGATTTTGTTTAGTTTTTTTGAGTTTTTTGAACTCCCTGGGGTCTAATTAGTAGGAAAAGACTAAAACATGAAAGAAATTGGCCTATTTGGCAAATCTGGGTATTGGCCATATTTGGCTCCTATGGCCTATATGCATGAACAATGACCAAAGTTATTTCTTGATCTATGGCAGATATTTGAGTTCTGTTTTTTCTGACATGTGCAGATAGTCCATGTGGATGTTGCCTGCAAATTTCAGCCTTGTAGCTTTGTAACTTTTGACGCAAAAAATTTATTTGGGTTTGAACACTTTTTGACTATCACTGTGCAGACCAGAAATAGCCGGTTTGGAAAGTTACTGATTTTGTTTAGTTTTTTTGAGTTTTTTGAACTCCCTGGGGTCTAATTAGTAGGAAAAGACTAAAACATGAAAGAAATTGGCCTATTTGGCAAATCTGGGTATTGGCCATATTTGGCTCCTATGGCCTATATGCATGAACAATGACCAAAGTTATTTCTTGATCTATGGCAGATATTTGAGTTCTGTTTTTTCTGACATGTGCAGATAGTCCATGTGGATGTTGCCTGCAAATTTCAGCCTTGTAGCTTTGTAACTTTTGACGCAAAAAATTTATTTGGGTTTGAACACTTTTTGACTATCACTGTGCAGACCAGAAATAGCCGGTTTGGAAAGTTACTGATTTTGTTTAGTTTTTTTGAGTTTTTTGAACTCCCTGGGGTCTAATTAGTAGGAAAAGACTAAAACATGAAAGAAATTGGCCTATTTGGCAAATCTGGGTATTGGCCATATTTGGCTCCTATGGCCTATATGCATGAACAATGACCAAAGTTATTTCTTGATCTATGGCAGATATTTGAGTTCTGTTTTTTCTGACATGTGCAGATAGTCCATGTGGATGTTGCCTGCAAATTTCAGCCTTGTAGCTTTGTAACTTTTGACGCAAAAAATTTATTTGGGTTTGAACACTTTTTGACTATCACTGTGCAGACCAGAAATAGCCAGTTTGGAAAGTTACTGATTTTGTTTAGTTTTTTTGAGTTTTTTGAACTCCCTGGGGTCTAATTAGTAGGAAAAGACTAAAACATGAAAGAAATTGGCCTATTTGGCAAATCTGGGTATTGGCCATATTTGGCT